TGAATGTTGGTGCGATTCCGATATTTGGGCAAGAATTTCAAACGCTTGATGATGTGTATAATTTTTACAATGAGTATGCGAAAGTAGCTGGTTTTAGCATACGTATTGGTAGTAGCCGAAAGAATCAACAGACAAATGAGCTTGTCTGGAAGTCGTATGTTTGCTTTAAACATGGTCAAAAAGATGAGTCCTACCAGATGAAACTCAAAAATTTGGTGGCCCGTTCTGGTGAACGAAAGCGTGGGAACTCACGTTGTGGATGTGATGCAAAGTTAACAGTGATAAAACATCAGACAACTTCCATGTGGGTTGTAAGCCATTTTGTCGAAGGGTATAATCATGCACTATCTACACCAAGCAAAACGCACCTACTACGCTCACATCGACATGTTTCTGCAACCAAAAAAGCGCTTGTTGACCAATTTTCACAGGCCAATATTCCTAGCTGTCAACAGATCAGACTTATGGAGATAGATGCTGGTGGGCCTTCTTCATTGGGCTGTAATGAGCAAGATATCAGGAACCATCGACGAGATCGACGACGAGAAGTCATTGGATGCGATGCAGAAACATTGATTGCGCATTTCGAGTTGGAAAAAAGAAGGAGTCCAAGCTTGTACTACGCCTATGAGACTGATGAGGATGGTGTGTTCGCTCGTTGTTTCTGGGCTGATGCAGAGTCCATGAGTTCTTATGTTTACTTTGGAGATGCTGTAGTTTTCGACACAACATATAACACAAACAAGTATTTGATGGTGTTCGCACCATTCGTTGAAGTAAATCACCATCGGCAAACTCCTATTTTCACATGTGGCTTATTGCGTGATGAAAAGATCGATTCATTTATTTGGTTGTTTTTGAAGTTCGTCGAAGCAATGCCTACCCAATGGCCCCCCGCGGTGATTATTACTGATCAAGACGCTACCATTGCTAGAGCAGTTGGTGAGGTTTTTCCTAACACAATGCATAGGTTCTGTCTATAGCATATTCTAAACAAGTTCTCAGAGAAGATGAGTCTCGTGCTGTACAAGGAACTATACCCCGGCCTGGTGAGTATCATTAAGCAGTCGGAGTCTCTAGAGGAGTTCGAATCTCGTTGGGCTAATGTAATGGAAACTACTGATCTTGGTGATA